TTGATTTTTTTCATGTTTTAAATCATTTCAAATATCAGTATTCAACGTTTTATGTTTAATATATCAAAACATTATTTATGCATTTGTAATTGCAGGTTAAATGCATTCATGTCTTGCATTAAACAAAATACATGTGTGTAAATACATCTAAATGCCACTTCAGATGCAGCTTCTGTGTTGATTTAATTTGCTTGGTAACAGCCCAAATGTCTTATTATTCTAATTCCCTGATTAAATGTAAGAATTTGACTCAAAATATAATGGACACTTCTAGAAAAAATGGCTTTATAAAGGTAAAAATGCCCATAAAATGTAAAAATCTGTTTTAACTTATTGGAAAAGATTAATTTCTATCAGTATGAACTGACCACCACACAGAATATGAAGAATATTAAAAACATTAGGAGCCAGCTGTCTTCGGCAGTCCTTGAGATATCAGCACAATAACACACTCAGCAAAATATACTCTAATTATTGTCATCGATAAAATCCCAGAAAATATCAAGATATTATTTTGTGTCAAATATCGCACACCCTTACTTTGCAGTAAATTGAAAGCTTCAGTGTTACAACCAGTTCGTTATTTATAAACAAAAACACCAACACTGGTTTTTATTTGTTAGATTTATCATCAATATTGTTCATAAGAATTTAAGAATGCTGAAACTCAAAATATACATTTACATGGTCTGAATTTTAAAGTACCCCATTCATTTATAATGAATGTGTATACATATACAAAACCAGATGCCCAAATAAGGGCTAGTGCACCAAAATGTACACACTTCTTATATCTTTAACATTGTGTCAAACGAAATACAACTGATGGTTAGAGTGTGTTGTGCTGCATGCATCAAAGTGAAGCTCATACTTCACTCACATAATCAGCTTGTGAGCTGGTGTTTTCCACGAATAAGTTCACAGCAAATGCTGCAAAATCCATCTCTGCATGTTCTGTGAGTTTAACGTGCATTTAACATTTACAGAATAAAGGCATTTAAGTTGACAGGAGCAATAAAAAAAAAAATCCTAATAAAGTAGACTGCCTAACTTATAGTACAGAACGTATACACACTTGTGTACGATTACCGCGTTTATATTGCTTCACATGTCCTTGAGAAAAACAAGCACACTGACATGCTGTATGACTTCCTTAAACCAGTCTTGCTCAATGAAACTTAAAAGTAGCTTATGACTAGGGTTGGGTATGTAACCGGTATGTACTAGAACCGAATCCGAACGCAGATTTCGGTGCCATGCCTGAGCGATCGATTGAAATATTTGTCCTCTGGTTCTCCCAAATGGACCATCACTGGCACCGCACGTAAAAAAAGATTCCCGACTGAGAAAATGCACGTGAACTTAAGTCGGAAAGACACGAGAGAGTCCATGTTTTCACATTCCGACTTAAAAGCACAACTCGGGAAATGAGAGCATCGAGGAGCGCGTGAATGCAGTAATTACACTTGCTCTGATGGCAGCAGGTAGCCTTCCGTTAACTAAGCGAAACATGCTTAAATTAAAATGCCTAAAGCTAAACCTCCCTTGTATTCACATTTCTAAACCTGTTGTCCAACAAAAGAGAAAAATGCAACCTTTTTACTCCACAACACCAGTCAAATGCTTCCTTTTGTGATCTGATGAGGCTTCTTGTCACAGAATGAGGCAGAAAATATGTTCCATATACTACTTTAAAAAGAATACATTGATTAGCAATAAATTAGGGTGACCATGCGTCCTCTTTTCCCCAGACATGTCCTCTTTTTGGACCTACAAAAATGCGTCCGGCCGGGATTTCTTAATTGCCCAAAATGTCCGGGATTTGGTGGTTTTCTTAATCCCACTCCCCCTGAATCTCTGACCATTGCCGCCTGTTCCCGCAACATGTGTTTCACTCCCACGATTTTCGTGGCCACTCCTTTAAACACTCTAATATTGTATATAATTTTGGCGCATCAGAGAGCCGCTCTCAGGATGCGTGTATTTAAATCTTTTTGAATGAGCGTTTGTGCGGTTTACTTTCACTTTCGCCATCACACGCACTCCGTGTAAAGGGTGCACATCTTACAAGACCAGATATTTGTCAATGAGCTCAGGATCTGTGGAGCAGCAAATACTCCAGCATGGTCTTGTCAGTCACATCTCCTTATTCTCGACCTGTGATCAGGCAAAGCTGACTCCGGTAGCTCTTGTTGGATGCAGGGTTGCCAAGTCCGCGTTTTTTTTCCACAGAATTGGGCTTCTTTTAAACTGTTGCCATGGGTTGATTTTCCCCAAGTGGGTTAAAGGTTTGAAATACTGCATAAATTACATTTGACTGAAATGCTTGTACTGAAACATTTTGCATTCTACCTATGATAAAACTTTCATGGACTTCTACATTAAATGTTCCCTCCTGGTGGAATGACCTGCCCAGCTCAATCAAAGCAGTTTTCAAAGTCCTTAATATTTTAAAGAAACAGCTGAAAACATCTTTCATCTTCATTTGACCCTCTAACTCTAGCACTCTCTATTCTAATGCTACTTCTAATTTTATCTGCTTGTTTTTTTTTAATTAAAAAACTTGACCCTCTAACATTTGCACTCTCTATTCTATTTTTATTCTAATGGCCAATCCATAATTTTTGGGGGGAATTTATTTATTTATTTTATTTGTTTTTTAATAAGTATCAGTTCAGGCACCGGAACAGTTTTAAAAGTATCGATTTGGCACCGGTATCGAAAAAAAACCAAACGATACCCAACCCTATTTGTGACTCAATCTGCACCTGCCTGCAGTCGTGAATGCAGTGACGGACAGCTGTCTTTCCACAGGTGACTGGTCAATACCGATGGTTTAGCTAGGGATGGGTATTGTTAAGGTTTTAACGGTATTACTACAGTGTGTGTGTGTGTGTGTGTGTGTGTGTGTATGCATGAAACAAATTAAGAGCTGAATTAACATTGCATTATATTCTGAAATGTAAAATAAATATTTAATGAATTGAACATAAAACATCAATTTGTAAATATATACAGTATATATTATATTATAGTATATTTTAAGTGTTTGTGTACAAATCAGCAAATTTCATGTTACTGACACTATACATTTATATTTTGGTATATTTTACAGCATTAGTTGAGATTTTTTTCCTTGAGAAAATTTGCCATGTCCCGTACCTGATATATATACAAAATAATCGATATTGAATCAAAATGAAATCAAATCGCAAGCTTGTGAAGGATAATCAAATCGAATTGTGAAATTTGTCAAAACAGAACTATTAGTCCAAGTTATTGCAAATATTTTCTCATCCAAATAACTCTGATCCTACAATTTTATATAGCAATGTTAAAATGGATTACAAAATATATGCACTAACAACTTACCATAATAGCCTTTGGAGGATTACTGCCACTCACATCCACAAGGATGTCATCATATTTGTCAAAATTAATGCCTGTGGCATAATGGGAAAATATGGAACTCTCCTCTTCTGGAGGGGGAGGTGGCACATAGACAACCTTGTGTCCTACAAGAAACAGAAACACAGTGTTAGTTTATTTGGGATATAAAGCAAGTCAACTATAACACGTGCTCTGGCTAAAGCAATGACTTGCATTGAAGAAAAATATGACCCACCAGTATTTTCACTTGCTTCTTGATTTTCTTTGTCTGCTGTTGAGACTGGACAATCAGGGAAAGAGCAAGAAAACTAAGCAAATTAAAAATGCAGCTTATTATTTAGTTACTATAAAAGCAGTAAATTACCCTTGGAAAACACTTCCTCATTCTGGCCTCTGAAACCTACACAGTGTCATTGAAGAGAATTCAATTGAACCCATAACATAAAATCAGTCATGTACTACTTAAAACACGTGAATATGAAAATATCACCTCCTCTTCCAAAGCCTCTTTTTCCTGTCTCTTCATCACCACCACCTTAAAAGCAGGACACAAATATTAAAATGAAACATGATTCAGTTGTGATTAGGGTTGGGCGATATGACTAAAATCTTATTTCACGGTATGAGAAATTTTATTTCACGATAATATATATCTCAATATAGCTATTTTTATTTTATTTTTGTTATAAAATAAGCAGCAGCAAATTACAAACACAATAGAACAAATAAAAATGAAATTGAATAAAGTGTAGAAATAAAACACTGCATAGTCTTCACTGTATCAATCAAACATGAACGGATTCTTATTAAAGATCCAAAAGTGATTCAATGAGAGATTAACATTAATAATGACAGACAGCAGCAGGTAAATAAGGCTGCTGTCCCTTTAAGACCAACTGCAAGGATCCAATATACTGAAACATCCGGTTTTCATTCAACTGTTTTACATTTATTTAACACATAACCTACTGTGTTTACCGGAACACTCCACACAACGTGCATTACGATATAATTGTGTGCATATCTGACCATTCAAGCACAATAAAACACGAAAAAGATTTTTGCTAAACTGTTTTAGCATCGCATGCTGTCTGAGAGGGGCTTTTAGTGCACAGCTGTGTGTCAGTCAGCGCGAGCACCGCATCGAGTTCTTTCTCACTGCTTATTGCACTTAACTTTATTAAGCATCATGTACATCCCAAACACGCGATTGCATGTGGTCTGATTTAGTTTAATTTAAGTGTATTACCACATCAGCTTCACAGGATATTTCATGGCAAAGATGAGAGGTCTGAGAGGTGCTTCCAGTGCGCAGCTGTGTGTCAGTCAACACGAGTTCTTTCTCACTGGTTATTGCACTTAACTATCAAGTGTGTCCCACTCTTTATTTTCTCATTCATGCATGTTTCCTTATCACTCAAAGGTGTATAACGGTTAAGCATTACTGTGTTACACAGATATATTTGCATACCGCGGAATACACGATATAGCAAAATCTCTTAAGATAGACACTTTATTCTGTGGTAATGATATATATATACCGTCATACCACCCAGCCCTAGTTGTGATTGGTCAAAGGCAGCTGTGGTCAAACATGTACTGTATATAATCTAAATCAGTGTTTCCCAACCACTGTGCCGTGACAGGGTGTCAGGTGTGCAGTGGAAAACTATCAAATGACAAAAAAAAACAAATGCTAAAAATAAGAAAGTCATATCATCGCTGTCAGGCAGAATCCTCTCTCTATATTTCATTGTTATTTTTAAATCAGTGCTATTGGTCATCCATTATGCCTGATTTTACAAATATGTAACCAACAGGAATGCAAGCATCATCGTATAACTACGTGTATGACCTTACTGTGTTCATACCTTACTTAAGCTCAAGTTTCATCTTAAATGAGAGTACTTTTAATATAATTTCCAGTTTTAATATACCATTTGAAGCAATGCATGTTTGTGGAATTTTTTAGTTTTAGTGGTGTGCCGTGGGATTTTTTTTTACTTCTCAAAACTGTGCCGTGGTGAAAAAAAGGTTGGGAAACACTGTGCTAAACTGTATAAATCACAGTTGCCCCAAGCAATTAACTTCCTACACAGCTGTGCTAGATTCACGCATCAGGCCTTCCTGCCATCATCTCACATTATAACTACAATTCAAATTCATTTCTTCCAACAACCAACCATCACGGAAACCACCCCGGAAACCGCCGCGAACTCTTCCTCGGCCTTCACCTCCTTTCCAACCTGCAACAAACAGGCGGGGTCCATGAATCACTGAAACATCATGAGTCATAAGAGAATGTTTATTATTTGAAAGAAAAAGACATTACCCTCATCTGTGCCATTTTCATCAATTTCTGGAAGTTAAACAAAGGCAATTTACATAAAAAAAATAAATATATATAATTGTACATGTATACATAGCCAAGAATTAAAATTAATCACCTCCTCGTCTCCTAGTCTCTTCATTACCACCTTAAAAAAAAAGGACAAATATTAAAACAAAATAGTCTGTCGCCGATATATCGGTATCAGCGAATATGCCGCCGATATGAAAATTTTTTTTATTCATTTTTTTTTAAAAGAGCAATGCAGATTAAATGGTGTAATTACTTAGTTTGTCCAGCAGAGCGCTACTAGCGACCCAGATCAATGTAGTGTAGAGATGCCCGGATGACCTCAACCTTCACCCGAGTCCGCAGCTTCAAATTATCCGCCCACCACCCACCCGCACCTATATTTGATTGTCACATTACAATGATTCTAATTCTTAGTTTTGCATGATGATATGAATGGATGGCTCATTTTTAACAGCAGATTCAGTGACGTTAGAGACTAGAGCTGATCTGCGCATCACGGCACGTGTCTGCGGCGCATTAAAGCCTGTGTTACGGCCACCAGAGCTGATCGCTCATTCAGTCAGTGCTGGTGTTTATACCGGACGCAGAGCGGCCCAGAACTCATGCTTATCACATCGGTCACATCACATTGCGCGACAAAATACAATAGAATTCTATTGTTCTATTTTATAGTATCTTTCTGCAGTCCAATAGACGCCAGTGCGATGGTGGCTTGAGGCTGTTGAATGGTGATTTAACACTACATTGACACCTAGTTGGAGAGACTCAATGCTAAGTAAATAAACAACAATGTCCCCGTCTTTTACACTCTCAATGAACTTACACTCATTTGCTACAGTAGTCTTCCAAAGCATCAGAGGGATCTCATTGTTAAAAGGTATCAGTCAGGAGAAGGGTACAAAAGAATTTCCAAGGCATTAGATATACCATGGAACACAGTTAAGACAGTTATCATCAAGTGGAGAAACTATGGTTCAACAGTGATATTACCAAGCACTGGATGTCCCTCCAAAATTGATGAAAAGATGAGAAGAACTGGTCAGGGAGGTTTACAGCAACATTAAAGGAGCTGCAGGAATTTCTGGCAAGCACTGGCTGTGTAGTACATGTGACAACAATCTCCCATATTCTTCATATGTCTGGGCTATGGGGTAGGGTGGCAAGAAAAACTTATAAGCCTGGCTAAATTGAGCAAAAACACATTTTAAATTTCCCAAAAAGCATGTGGGAAAATGGGTTATGGTCTGATGAATCCAAGGTTGAACTTTTTGGTCATAATTCTAAAAGGTATGTTTGGCGAAAAAACAACACTGCACATCACCAAAGGAACACCATACCCACAGTGAAGCATGGTGGTGGTAGCATCATGCTTGGGTGCCGTTTTTCTTCAGCTGGAACTGGGGCCTTAGTCAAGGTGGAGGGAATTATGAACGGTTCCAAATACCAATCAATATTGGCACAAAGCCTTCAGGCTTCTGCTAGAAAGCTGAAGAGGAACTTCATCTTTCAGCACAACAACAACCCAAAGCATACATCCAAATCAACAAAAGAATGGCTTCATCAGAAGAAGATTGAAGTTTTGCTATAAGTAGTAAAAGGGAAGAGATGATTGGTTCATTTTCCACTTGAACTGAAGCATTACAGCTATGTTAAGCCAAATTAAAGAGCTCCTTAACGATGTTTACAAACTTGTAAGTTTTGTTCATGCATCAACTGAAAACAGCAGACTTCTTAGGATTTGAGAATCAATGCTGTAAATTCATAAAAGCGAGAATTCATTAAAATTGAGAGATTGAGATTTTCAACCTAGTCCTACATCCTTCGTCTTCAATGGTAGTTTTGAAGTACTCTAATGTGATGGTCAGTTCAAGGAAGTAATTTACCATGTATCTAGTGTTAATTTCGTCAACGAAGACGAAAAATATTCATTAACAAACATTTTTCTGTGACTAAGAGGAGACGTTGACGAGCTAAAACTAATTACTGATGATAAAAACTATGACAAAATTTATCTTCACGTCTTCGTTAACCAGATGAGACGGGACTGTTATTTGAGGACTACCGGACATTCAAAATACATCCTATAGGCATACGGTCTTGTCCTTCAAAATGTGCTCCCGTCATTGGATTGCAATCGGATGAGGGGCGTTTGCATATCTAGTCTCAGTATGGCAGCCGCAGTGGATGGATAGGCTACCAAAATGCGAACTAGCGATCTGAAACAATGGCCTCAGCACCCGAAGGGGTAGAGATAAGGTGACCAGACGTCCCGTTTTTCCCGGGAGTCACAATTCGTTGTCGATTAACTTAAAGTTAGGCGGAATCGCACTGATAGAAGATCTTCAGTTCTCATATACAGCGCGCAATCAGTTTTCAGCACTCAAATACACTCACACACATAGCAGTCCAAATGTCTATCGTGTAGTGTTTCTCACGTAAATACAGTCAGTTATGGATTAAGTGAACGTAAACAGGTGGGTGAAATCTGAACACGTCAGTATTACATGTATGCCTTCCGTCTTAAAGGGACAGATTCCTAATTAAGTACCTACCCACGTCATTAATGTTAACCAACTAAAGATGTTAAATAAATATGTTAAGTAAACCTACTGTATCTGAAAAATTAGTTTTATTTGTATCTCTTTTGTATTTGTCTTATTGACTTATTCTGCTTCTTTTTCAAAAATTATAAATTATATATATTATATATCAGGGCTCCAGACTAACATTTGAGAGCAGTGGCACCAGCCACTAAGTTGTACAGATGGTAGCGCCAGCCATATCAACTAAATATTTAGCTGAAGCACCTTTACAGCCTCAAGTCTTTTTTGTTTGATGCGACAAGCTTTGCTCATCAGCATTTGGCAATTATCTGCCATTTTTCACCTCACCTCTTCACCTCACAAGCTTTGTCAGGTTGGATGGGGGCACATTTTTAGGTTTCTCCATAAATATTTGATTGGGTTCAAGTTTAGGCTCTGTCTGGGCCACTCAAGGACATTCACAGAGTTGTCTAGAAGCCACTCTTGCTGTATGCATAGGTCCATTGTCCTGTTGGAATGTAAACCTTCTGCCCAGTCTGATGTTCTGAATGCTCTGGACTAGGTTTTTATTAAAGGGGTCATATGCGGTTTCAAGTTTTCCTTTCTCTTTGGAGTGTTACAAGCTGATTGTGCATAGATAAGACGGAATCGCACTGATAGAAGATCTTCAGTTCTCATATACAGCGCGCAATCAGTTTTCAGCACTCAAATACACTCACACACATAGCAGTCCAAATGTCTATCGTGTAGTGTTTCTCACGTAAATACAGTCAGTTATGGATTAAGTGAACGTAAACAGGTGGGTGAAATCTGAACACGTCAGTATTACATGTATGCCTTCCGTCTTAAAGGGACAGATTCCTAATTAAGTACCTACCCACGTCATTAATGTTAACCAACTAAAGATGTTAAATAAATATGTTAAGTAAACCTTCTGTATCTGAAAAATTAGTTTTATTTAAAAAAGCATCATATGACCCCTTTAAGGCCATCTCAATATTTTGGTGCATTGAGCTTTTCTTCTATTCTGACGAGTTCCTCAGTACCTGCCACTGAAAAACAGCCCCACAGCATGAGGCTGCTACCAGCACACTTTACTTTTGGGATGGTACTCTGCAGGTGATGAGCAGAGCTGGTTTTCCTTCAAACATGATGCTTGGAATTGAGGTTCATCAGACCAGAGATTTTATTTCTCACAGTCTAATTGTCCTTTAGTTGCTTTTTTGCAAATTCTAAGCGTTTTTTCATGTGTCTACACTGAAGAGAGGTTTGAGTCTTGCCACACCACCATAAAGCCCAAATCGATGGAGTGTTGCAGTGGTGTTTGTCCCTCTGTAGTTTTCTCCTATCTCCACATATGATCATGGAGCTCAACTTGAGTGACCACCAGGTTCTTGGTCACCCCACCAACCAAAGCCCTTCTCCATCAGTTGCTCAGTTTGGTCAGGAGGCCAGCTCTAGGAAGAGTCCTGGTTGTTTCAAACATCTTCCATTAAGGATAACAAGAGACTACATGCTTCTGTGACCCTTCAGTGAAGCAGAATGTTTTCCTGAACTCTTCTCCAGATGTGTGGCTTGACAAACCTGTTTCTGAGCTCTGCAGGCAGTTTCTTTTGACCTCAGGGCTTGGTTTTTGCTCTGATATGCATTATCAGCTGTTAGACCTTTTATTAAGAAGTGTGTGCCTTTCCAGATCAACAATGGAATAATTTAAGTTTTTTATTCCATTTGGTCACAGTCTGGAGCCCTGTATATGAACAACTATCATTTTTATAAGTTGCTCCCTTTTCACTACTGTTAAAGGGATAGTTCACCCAAAAATGAAAATGGTCAATTTATTCAAGCTTTTCCTTTTTGAATCCTTGATTCAAATTTCTCAAATAAGCTTCATTGATTTGGTCTAAGAGAGAAGAATTAATGACTATTTTTGTTTGAAGACTACATATAAAATAGCTACCAAAATAAATGTTGGTAACTGCAGTTTGACTAAAAGTTGACAAAAAAGCAATGACTTCTAAGTCGATAAACTATGAAAAACTCAAATGACTAAAATGTGACTAAGACTATTAAGCATTTTCGTCTCAAGATAAAGACTAAGACTAAATAAAAAAATGCCTGTCAAAATTAACACTGCATGTATCCTTCTCTAACAGCCTTGTAGGAAGGCTTCATGAAGGGGTTATGCTGTTCACTTTCATGTGGCGAACCATCCCACAGTTCCCTTCAAGGGCACAAAAATGCCAAAGATTAGGTCTCACACTCATGTCTTTTACAGTAAATTGATTTAATCGAGAAAAATGTAGTATCACAAATTACATAAGCATTATATTGGAGCCAGCTTGTTTTCTTCTTTGAGTATAATACAACCAAAATTGACAGAGCCTTAAAACCAGACTTCTGTTGAAGGGAATCAAAGATGAATGTAATATCACCTGATTTAAAGGCATTTCTGAAGCCTTCTCTTCCTCCTCGTGATCCTCCTCTGCCTCCTAAAAATACATCATGTGAGCAATGCCAGTCGAATACAACTTCCAGCATTGACTCTGCAAGCAGGCTGCACACAAACAACTTTGGATTCAGATTTACGAAGTTTAAATCTGTTATTTCCTGATTGTTCAGGCAACCCTCTGAAAAAAATCTATTTTAAAAATATGTAGTTTCGCACCTCCCTAATCAGGGTTGCTGTACAGTCAATGAGTTTCATTCACTAATAATTGCACAAATTATTCATATTTATAAGCACATTCGAACTTCTCACAAAAACTTTCAGTGTAATCCACAACATGGACAATGTTCTTAAAGGGTTAGTTCAACCAAAAATGAAAATTAGGCTGTTTTACTCTCCTCAGAGCCATCCTAGGTGTATATGACTTTCTTCTTTCAGACGAATCCAGTTGGAGTTATATTAAAAATTGTCTTTGATCTTTCAAGCTGTTTAATGACACTCAGCGGGTGTTGCATGCATCAGTCCAAAAGAAGTTAAATAAAAAGCGCCCATCCATAAAAAATGTCTCACACGGCTCCGGGGGTGAACAAAGTCCTCCTGTAGTGAATCGATGCGTTTTTGTAAGAAAAACATCCATATTCAAAATGTAATAATCACTATAATGTAGCTTGCGCCAACAGTTGTACACGGAAGCAGCGGAGGATGACGTACGAGGTCAGCTTTGCGCATACGCTGGTGAGTCTCGTGAAAACCAATGTTTGTTTACAGGATTAAAGGAAGCAAAGTTTCTTTACTTTAGCAAAGGAAAACCAGTCTCCTCTTGGCTTATATCGAAATCCTCTGACATTCTTCTTTACAAATCCTCGTTTTGTACTTCTAATTAGTGACCGTTGTTTTGTTTTGATCTCTCCCCTGCGCTTCCATGTGCGTCACTTCTGAGCGGCGCATGCGCAAAGCCGACCTCATACGTCATTCCCCTGGAACTGCTTCCGTTTACAACAGTGAGCGCAAGCTAGATTAAAGTGATTATTACGTTTTGGATATGGATATTTTTCTTACAAAAAACGCATCGATTCGCTACAAGAGGCCTTTGTTCACCTCCCGGAGCCGTGAGAGACGTTTTTTTTTAATGGATGGGTGCTTTTTATTTAACTTCTTTTGGAGTGATGCATGCAACACCCGCCGAGTGGCATTAAACAGCTTGAAAGATCAAAGACTATTTTTAATATAACGTCCGACTGGATTCGTCTGAAAGAAGAAAGTCATATACACCTAGGATGGCTCTGGAGTGAGTAAAACAGCCTAATTTTCATTTTTGGGTGAACTAACCCTTTAACCTCGTTTTAATGTTAGTGAATTGTCTTTCACCTTTCATGACTCTAGTCAAACATAAGCTCTCTACAGACACAATTTCACCAGATCCTTGAGCAACGCCAAGGGCGCCCAGTTAGGGATGTAACGATTCAAATCGGTTGAGATGCCACACAAAATGCGATACAATTGGAGTAGGAGTTTATATGAATGCATCTCTGAGGGGAACTGACTGTCTTTAGAAAAATTATCTTTTCATCTTGCCTCTGAACAACGCATATTAAAGTAGTGTTCATAAGCGCAGCTCTGCTTTGTTAACAGTGGTAACCCAGGAAACACTCTTATCGTTGCTGCTCATAAGCGCCACCTGCTGTCAGAGAGTGAATCTTCATTCATACAGTTTTCACACACATTTTGCGAACACATGCTTAGTGAAAGGGACCCAATGTCCCTAGCTAATTGTGCTAAATATCACTTGGATAGAAAAGGTCCACATCTACAAACAAGTTCAATTTCACAATGTCTGATTGTTTGACTCCAAAGCAGGGCTGTGATTCTCAACCCTAGTCCTGGTTAGCCAAACCCCCGTACACCTCCCACCAAAAAACTGCACATTTTGTCTCTCTGATCAAACACACCTGATGTAATGGATAAGCTTATTGGCAGACACTCCAAGACCTGAAACCGGTGTCTCGGACAAAGGAGATATTCAAAATGCGTGTTGGGGCTCCAGGAACAGGGTTGAGAAACACTGCTCTTGATGTCTTGATGAAACATCGTCTGTGTGAAGGCTCTTGATGCAGTTACTCATTACTTAAAAGTTCTCCTACTCACCTCTGCCCCTGAATCCATCACCAGCAGTCTTCCATGAACTGCCGTCAACATCTACAAACACAAGGACACACTTTAGATATGTTTTAATCTGCGCCCTTACATTAGCTTTCAGGCATCATAGTCCCAAATCATTAGGGTTGGGGTACCGAAACCCCATGTAACCGGTATGTACTAGAATCAAATCAGAACGCAGATTTCGGTGCCTCATTTTGGTGCCACTTAAATGCCTGAGCGATCGATTGAAATATTTGTCCTGGTTCTCTGAAATGTACGCAAGATGCATGGGCGTCGCTAGGCCATTTTTAGCGGGGCTATAGCGATTAGCTCCATAAACTGGACACAAATTCATTATGGCCTCAGTCAGTCCTCTTTAAATTTCATATGAAAATGGTGGCAGACTTTTCGTCTCCTCCCCGTCTTTCAGCGTGCTCTTCAATTCCACAGACCGCAGCGCGAGCGGACTCAAACAGAGGACACAAGGTGTGTGTTTATCGATAGATTGTTATAATATCTGTATCTGTGCAGTTCTTTGTCATAAATACAGTTTACAAAAGGTCACGAGGGAGCAATCGGTTTCTCATCTATTGTAAAGTTTTCACTGCGTTCACCGCTCATCACACCACAGCTGTTTCCTCCAGCAGGAAATCTAGCCCTTAACACATATGAACACATACTTTATAAAACAATCATATTGCCATTTTCATTTGAAAATGTAATATTTAATATAAAACATATTACAGTGCATGTGGCATACCATACAGTCATTCACAGAACTGATTAAAGACAGTGACAGACAGCACTCAGTCAATTCACTCATTTGAACTAAAAATCAGAGTGATTGACAGAGATACAGTAGAAACATTATGTGTGGATCGTGAAATGCATTTATTAGCCTTAGAGTAAGTGAAGCACAACTCGGGAAATGAGAGCATCCAAGGAGCATGTGAATGCTATGTATACTTATTTTTTATATTTTTAATGTTCTTTAATGTTATCCATCGTTTTTTTATGTGGCTCTTTTTAAAAAAAGTATCGGTTCAGGCACCGGTACCGTTTTAAAAGTATCGATTTGGCACCGGCATCGTAAAAAACCCCAATCGATATACACCCTTACAAATCATAATAGAATCTGACATGTTATTTTAAATTTGTTAATGTGAATTGCTTCTAATATACCTCTCCAGACCAAAAAAAGGTTCAATGGTACCACTGACATCCATAATTAGGATATGTACATAATTAGGTCCCAAAAGATTAAATAATTTCAAAATTGCTTGATTTAGAAGAGCTTCGGTTCAATGAGCTGTATTTAGTTTAAATTAGATCCAATTTGATACCTTCATTCTAACGATTCTAATCATAATTGCACCTACAGTGCATTCAGATACCGGGAGACGGGCCGTTACACGAGGACAGCTGGACAGGACTGAAGCAGCGCAACAACAGTACCAGTATCTACACACTACTGATTTACATTATGAGTTGCTGTGATAAAAATCAGGCAAGTTGGATCAGCCTGTAATTTACATTTTTTTCCATATATGATCTTGATTTTGCGCAGCTTGTCAGTGAACAAAGGCTCGGTGTAGTAAATGCTGCTCCATATGAAAGCACGCACGTGATGCAGATTTACCGCTGATTACAGAACCGGCTTTACTGACAAGATGCGCATTAAATATGGCATGCAATTTATCGTGCAGCCCAACTGGAAAAGCGTAAAGCATTCAAGTGTTTGTCATGTTCCGACCCTAAAGAGTAGATTTAAACCAAAATTAATGGTCTGGTTCCTACAACATTTACTTGGGAGCAAAAATATGCCTTTCAAAAATTAGAAATTTATTGTGATAATTATCACTATTGACTGATATGAATTTTTATCATGATAATTTTTTGGCCTTATCGTTCAGCTCTATATACAAGTAATGATTTTTAACATTAATATTTCATTTATCAAGATCAAATGTGTGATTTAAGTGTTCCCTTAATTTTTTTTTTAAACAAAATTTCTGCCTTTTGAATGAAAATGGTTTTTACTTCTCGTATTCTTTTGATTCTCCAGATGCTGCTGCCTTTTGCTTGACTAGCATACTGTATGTGCATAATTGAACAAAGCTTTTCATGTAGTTTACGGTCCCAAATTGTACCAGCATACTTTGAGGTCAAAGTACATACTTTCTACCCAAATGCCGCACAGGCTGGCAGGTCTGATTCATGATTACACATTTTAATATTAGGCTCAATTTATCACAATTACAGAAATCTGTGCAATTAGTTAATTTGTTTAAATCAACTGACAGCCCTAGTAGATTTTGAAAGTACATTTGTAGCAATTTTAGTTGTGTTCTGGAGTCCTGCAACAAAAATCCCTTCAAGTTTCCAAAACAAATTCACAGAAACAGCATTAAAGAAAAATGATACGAACCTTCATTGTTTGCCTTCCCATTTCCTGTACTTCCTACAAATGAAAAGCATCTTGTGAACTGCTACATTGCAACTCAAACACAATGTACACAGTATAATGTATACTGAATGATTAACCACATTCTGTACAGACCCTTCTGTAATTTACAGAAGGAACTGCATTTTATGTAACTGGATTTACTTTAGGTAGTGGATTTTAGGAATCGGCATGCATTATGACTGAATGAATAAAGCAGGCTGTCTAAAAGCAACAGTTTAATGAGCATAAAACAAAGTTGCAAACACACAACAAATGCTATAGTGCTATAGCAGGGGTCCCCAACCCTGCTCCTGGACAGCTACAGTCCTGCAGATTTCAGCTCCGACCCCAATCAACCACACATTAACTAGCTGATCAAGATAATTACAGGCAGGTGTGTTGGAACTGAAGTCTGCAGGACAGTAGCTCTCCAGGAGCAGGGTTTCTGATCCCTGTGCTCTAGGCATTGCGGTCAATTAAATATGCATTTGCTTTTGTCTGGAAAATGAGTTACAAATGACTGCATGTACAAAATGGGAGAGTGAACCTGAATAGAAGCTCTTAAATCCTCCACTTGCACCACTGGAGCTCAGACCTGCAAGTAAAACAGTGCATTTGACATTTAAGTGTACATTTAAAGGGGAAGTGAATCAGTCAGTCAAGCTTACATTATTTAGTGGTGTTTATGTACACGTGGGTACCAGATGCTCCAAACATATAGACATGATTGCTTATTTTGTAGGAGGAATGGATCACAGAGTTTCCACACATTCAGAAAGTTTTTATTTTTCATTTGGATTTTGCGGTGTTTAGTCATTCTGAATGGATCGGTCTCTATATGCAGTCAGGTCAAAGAGGCAGGGTTAGTGCTCTTTCGGCATCTCCCTGTGGTCTTGTTTGATATGGCAGGTTTACTTGTGCTTTTTTGTTTAAGTTGCTGTATAAAATGAAATTCCTGTGGATATTTCTATTTCACAAAATACTGAGCTGCTAAACTTTAAAAGACACACATGCAAACAGACAGCCAATAATTTTATACTGAAATGCTCAAATACTTGTTTTGATGATTAGTTTTCACTCGCGTTAGTAGTTAGAGTGAAAATTTAGTGAGTAATTCTGACTCACTAAACTGCAAGTTATCGTTCCTTTCAGTGATGCCCGTTCGAAATCAAGCAATTTGTGTACTGAAGGCATGTGAAACTGGAATGTAATTTGTAATTTCCATCTGGTTGTATGGAACTAAACAACTTAAAAAAAGAACAGTGCAATAAGTGCAAAGTATTTGTATGTATGCATGCATGTATGTATGTATGTATATGTATGTGTGTTTTTAAACCTACCAAAACCTGAATTGCAGAATACAACAGGGCCCTGTAAAAAGACTAACAAATTAACAAGTTGACAACATTAACCATTCATCCCTAAATATATCCTATTTGGTTTGAGTCACATACAGTCAGGTAGCCTGTACAATTAAATACGTACAGTTCAAACTGTAAAGCAGTGTTTTTCAACCCTGGTTCTGGAGTGGATCCAGTCCACATTTTGGATGTCTTTCTTATCTGACATCCATTTCAGGTTCTGAAGTCTGTACTAAGAAGTCAATCAGGTTTGATTTCGATCACAGAATGCTTGCAAAATGTGATTGTTGTACCTTCAACACTGCACATTTGGCAAAAACGATACAATGAAACTATACCTTGAATGCAGTGAAAGTCGCTTTGTAGTCATTCTTGAGAAGTGGGACAAAACAAGGTGCAAAATTGAAAAAATAAAACCTACATTTATGTATCTTATATGTACTAAGCTACTGAGCTATGCTTTGATACAACCTCCCAACTTTTCGCTTTAACAAAATGTGCTTTTTTTTTTTTACCTTGGACTGTGTAATATAATTTCAGCTTTATTTTTAACAGCATTCAAGATGTTTTTAACATTTCAAAACACTTTCTCTGTTGATGCTAGATGCTAATGGAACCTGCTTCAGGAGAATACAATGATCTAAATATTTCCAATAATTTCGAGTGGGGGTTCAATCTTCAACTGGCTGGCAGGAGTAAAAGTATCGATTTGGCACCGGCATCGTAAAAAACCCCAATCGATATACACCCTTACAAATCATAATAGAATCTGACATGTTATTTTAAATTTGTTAATGTGAATTGCTTCTAATATACCTCTCCAGACCAAAAAAAGGTTCAATGGTACCACTGACATCCATAATTAGGATATGTACATAATTAGGTCCCAAAAGATTAAATAATTTCAAAATTGCTTGATTTAGAAGAGCTTCGGTTCAATGAGCTGTATTTAGTTTAAATTAGATCCAATTTGATACCTTCATTCTAACGATTCTAATCATAATTGCACCTACAGTGCATTCAGATACCGGGAGACGGGCCGTTACACGAGGACAGCTGGACAGGACTGAAGCAGCGCAACAACAGTACCAGTATCTACACACTACTGATTTACATTATGAGTTGCTGTGATAAAAATCAGGCAAGTTGGATCAGCCTGTAATTTACATTTTTTTCCATATATGATCTTGATTTTGCGCAGCTTGTCAGTGAACAAAGGCTCGGTGTAGTAAATGCTGCTCCATATGAAAGCACGCACGTGATGCAGATTTACCGCTGATTACAGAACCGGCTTTACTGACAAGATGCGCATTAAATATGGCATGCAATTTATCGTGCAGCCCAACTGGAAAAGCGTAAAGCATTCAAGTGTTTGTCATGTTCCGACCCTAAAGAGTAGATTTAAACCAAAATTAATGGTCTGGTTCCTACAACATTTACTTGGGAGCAAAAATATGCCTTTCAAAAATTAGAAATTTATTGTGATAATTATCACTATTGACTGATATGAATTTTTATCATGATAATTTTTTGGCCTTATCGTTCAGCTCTATATACAAGTAATGATTTTTAACATTAATATTTCATTTATCAAGATCAAATGTGTGATTTAAGTGTTCCCTTAATTTTTTTTTTAAACAAAATTTCTGCCTTTTGAATGAAAATGGTTTTTACTTCTCGTATTCTTTTGATTCTCCAGATGCTGCTGCCTTTTGCTTGACTAGCATACTGTATGTGCATAATTGAACAAAGCTTTTCATGTAGTTTACGGTCCCAAATTGTACCAGCATACTTTGAGGTCAAAGTACATACTTTCTACCCAAATGCCGCACAGGCTGGCAGGTCTGATTCATGATTACACATTTTAATATTAGGCTCAATTTATCACAATTACAGAAATCTGTGCAATTAGTTAATTTGTTTAAATCAACTGACAGCCCTAGTAGATTTTGAAAGTACATTTGTAGCAATTTTAGTTGTGTTCTGGAGTCCTGCAACAAAAATCCCTTCAAGTTTCCAAAACAAATTCACAGAAACAGCATTAAAGAAAAATGATACGAACCTTCATTGTTTGCCTTCCCATTTCCTGTACTTCCTACAAATGAAAAGCATCTTGTGAACTGCTACATTGCAACTCAAACACAATGTACACAGTATAATGTATACTGAATGATTAACCACATTCTGTACAGACCCTTCTGTAATTTACAGAAGGAACTGCATTTTATGTAACTGGATTTACTTTAGGTAGTGGATTTTAGGAATCGGCATGCATTATGACTGAATGAATAAAGCAGGCTGTCTAAAAGCAACAGTTTAATGAGCATAAAACAAAGTTGCAAACACACAACAAATGCTATAGTGCTATAGCAGGGGTCCCCAACCCTGCTCCTGGACAGCTACAGTCCTGCAGATTTCAGCTCCGACCCCAATCAACCACACATTAACTAGCTGATCAAGATAATTACAGGCAGGTGTGTTGGAACTGAAGTCTGCAGGACAGTAGCTCTCCAGGAGCAGGGTTTCTGATCCCTGTGCTCTAGGCATTGCGGTCAATTAAATATGCATTTGCTTTTGTCTGGAAAATGAGTTACAAATGACTGCATGTACAAAATGGGAGAGTGAACCTGAATAGAAGCTCTTAAATCCTCCACTTGCACCACTGGAGCTCAGACCTGCAAGTAAAACAGTGCATTTGACATTTAAGTGTACATTTAAAGGGGAAGTGAATCAGTCAGTCAAGCTTACATTATTTAGTGGTGTTTATGTACACGTGGGTACCAGATGCTCCAAACATATAGACATGATTGCTTATTTTGTAGGAGGAATGGATCACAGAGTTTCCACACATTCAGAAAGTTTTTATTTTTCATTTGGATTTTGCGGTGTTTAGTCATTCTGAATGGATCGGTCTCTATATGCAGTCAGGTCAAAGAGGCAGGGTTAGTGCTCTTTCGGCATCTCCCTGTGGTCTTGTTTGATATGGCAGGTTTACTTGTGCTTTTTTGTTTAAGTTGCTGTATAAAATGAAATTCCTGTGGATATTTCTATTTCACAAAATACTGAGCTGCTAAACTTTAAAAGACACACATGCAAACAGACAGCCAATAATTTTATACTGAAATGCTCAAATACTTGTTTTGATGATTAGTTTTCACTCGCGTTAGTAGTTAGAGTGAAAATTTAGTGAGTAATTCTGACTCACTAAACTGCAAGTTATCGTTCATTTCAGTGATGCCCGTTCGAAATCAAGCAATTTGTGTACTGAAGGCATGTGAAACTGGAATGTAATTTGAAATTTCCATCTGGTTGTATGGAACTAAACAACTTAAAAAAAGAACAGTGCAATAAGTGCAAAGTATTTGTATGTATGCATGCATGTATGTATGTATGTATATGTATGTGTGTTTTTAAACCTACCAAAACCTGAATTGCAGAATACAACAGGGCCCTGTAAAAAGACTAACAAATTAACAAGTTGACAACATTAACCATTCATCCCTAAATATATCCTATTTGGTTTGAGTCACATACAGTCAGGTAGCCTGTACAATTAAATACGTACAGTTCAAACTGTAAAGCAGTGTTTTTCAACCCTGGTTGATCCAGTCATCCAGTCCACATTTTGGATGTCTTTCTTATCTGACATCCATTTCAGGTTCTGAAGTCTGTACTAAGAAGGTTTGATTTCATTTCAGGTTCTGAAGTCTGTACTAAGAAGTCAATCAGGTTTGATTTCGATCACAGAATGCTTGCAAAATGTGATTGTTGTACCTTCAACACTGCACATTTGGCAAAAACGATACAATGAAACTATACCTTGAATGCAGTGAAAGTCGCTTTGTAGTCATTCTTGAGAAGTGGGACAAAACAAGGTGCAAAATTGAAAAAATAAAACCTACATTTATGTATCTTATATGTACTAAGCTACTGAGCTATGCTTTGATACAACCTCCCAACTTTTCGCTTTAACAAAATGTGCTTTTTTTTTTTACCTTGGACTGTGTAATATAATTTCAGCTTTATTTTTAACAGCATTCAAGATGTTTTTAACATTTCAAAACACTTTCTCTGTTGATGCTAGATGCTAATGGAACCTGCTTCAGGAGAATACAATGATCTAAATATTTCCAATAATTTCGAGTGGGGGTTCAATCTTCAACTGGCTGGCAGGAGCCGCCACTGACAGGTCATCTGGCTGGCAGCTTCAGGCAGCCGCTGTAGATCTGCGAGTAGAATTCCTACCCTATCACTCTCCCTGCAAGGAAATACACTATTTTTATTATGAATATATTTTTATGACTCTTATGACTTTTTTGGATGATTGACCTTTTAGGTTTTTTCCCCAACTAAAGCAGTCAAATGAACGTGATCACGGCTGGTTGCTTACTGACACTTTGTTGGACGCTCAACCAGCCAGCCTCTGCTGCCTCTCATTCCAAGGAAATCATTCTGATTTTATTTTTGTTATTTCTACATCGTTTTTGTAAACAACTTTGAGTCAATTAATATATTATTTGCGTTCATGTCCTCCTATAACAGTTTCCTCCAGTCAGACTTTTTAAGCTATGAGTATGCCTATGCGTTCCCCACCACTCCTGCTGCAAGGAAATGCATAATTTTATTATTGTGAATATGTTCTTTTGAATGTATTTTTTATATAATATAGGTTTGCTTCGCTGGCCGCTCATCCAGCCAGTCACTGTTAAACTTAAAGATTAACGCGTTCTACCCCTCCCGTTACAAGAAAATAAATTATTTTATTATTATGTATAGGCTATATTCATATGAATCTATCATTTTATATGATATACGTTTTAGGGAGGTTTATCACGATTAAAGTGGTCAAATAACTGTTATCCCGATTGGTGGGTTACTGACACTTTAGTCCAGCCAGCCGCTATGAAGCTGCCAGTATAACACGTCCTCTACCACTCTCTCTGCAAGGAAATATATTATTTTATGATTATGAATTCATTCTTATGGGTCTGTTCTTTTACATGATCGACATTTTAGGGAGGTTTATCACAAATAAAGTGTTCAAATGGCCGTGATCCAGACTGGCAGGTTATTGCCGTTTGCACTGGCTGCTCAATCGGCCAGCCGCAAGAGTGCTCCAAGTCGTGATCACTTTCATTTGACTGCTTTAATTGGGATAAACCCACCTAAAACGTCAATCATACAAAAGAATAGAGTCATAAGAATATATTCATAATAATAAAATAATGTATTTCTTTGCAGCAAGAGTGATAGGGAACGCTTTATAGTTGCCGTTTAACCGGCTGGCTGGATTGAGCCGCGAGTGGAAGCGACAATCAGCTGGCAGTTGGGATCACGGCCATTTGGGCACTTTATTTGTAATAAGCCTCTATAAAATGTCGACAAATTAAAAGACTAGACCCATAAGAATATATTAATAATCATAAAATAATATATTTCCTTGTAGAGAGAGTGGTAGAGAACGCATTAAACTCGGAGCGCTCTTGCGGCTGTCTGACTGATCCGCCAGTGGAAGCGACAATAACCTAACCAGTTGGGATCACGGTCAGTTAAACACTTTAATCACGCTAAAATCCTCTAAAACATCAATCATGTAAAAGTAAAGAACTGAACAGGTTCACAATAAGAAATTGCACAAAACACAAAATCTGCCGAAAACGTGACCTGCCACTGGCAGCTGCCACCAACCACTGACAGGTCACTCCTGCCAGCCAGTTGAAGATTGAACCCCTACTGATAATTTCCTCAGAAACTGGAAGATGGTGTTGACATGATGGCCGTGACACAGGAAATATTAACATTAGGATTTAAAATACTCTCAAACTAAAACCTAGCAGAGCCTGTCTGACACTGCTGTACTCTGCAGAGGTGAACTGTGGCGAGGGGGTCCTTTAGAGCGACAGCTGCCCCTCATATTCCCTGATTTTATTACATTTTATTGAATGTCTGACGGTGTTGACAAAGTGGGGACACAACTTTAAAATCTTATGAAACATGCATGTGTCATTAAAAAAGCAACCTTGCTTTGATAGGAGATATTATTAAGTGTTGCTTTTGATAAAAAGCTCTTTTTCCATCAAAAAAAAGAACATTATCCATTTTATTGCATATGAATGCTTGAACCCTTCTCTGTGGACACACTGTTTTAGATGCAAGTTAGTGAGAGGACATTAAGAAACACAGATTTTGTATAATAATGAGAAAATTAAACTGAAGGTGTTACTGGAGTTAAATACATTCTATTATTAATCCCTCATGACATTTAAAATTGGAAATATTAGTATTTTTAAAGCTAATAGCAGTTACCCTTGCTGGACCGGTTTTGTTTGGATAAAAGCGTCTGCCAAATGCAACACGCAGAAACTTCTGGCAAGCTCACTGAAATTAGCTGACTTCTCACATCCAATATACATGCAGAAATAAAACCTAATGAATACGACTAATGATCCCAGCACTATAGACCGAAGCGCGATAACAACACCTGTCCGTCTGCAGTGACCCCTGTGCTCGGCCTCACCTGGTCTTCCTCCCGGTCATCCAGAAGACCCCACACTGCTGAAAGCGAACATGTCCTGCACCAAACTAGCTCGAGCAGCGGTTAGCATTGAGGAATCAGTTCAATCGGCCATTAGCTTCTGCGCGAGGTTAAACCGCTTTCATCGACAGCCTCGAGTAAAACACCGTGATATCTAGAGAAAGCAGCAGACACCGTCCTTTCTGATACAGTACAGTTACACAGGTTCATTTAAAAGCCAAGCCATTAACACCAAAGACGACTAACGTTAATTAGACCGATAAATTCACAATGATCGCCTCACTATTTGACGCTAACGAGTCAACTTCCTCTTCAATCGTGTCTTTAACTCGCATTACTAAAGACCGAGGAATAAATCATACTAATGTAGCTTAAAAAGATAAAGCAGCATACGTCTAGCAGAGGAGCTGATGGCGGGAGACGCGCGAGGAAAACCGGGCAGAAATGACGCTGCGTGTGGCGGGAAAATCGGTGTGACGTGCGATTCGCGCTTTTGAACCGATTCTTTTGAACGAACCAGACAAACGATTCACAAACCCGTTTGAATCTTTTTCTGAAGTTATTGGTCGTGAGTCATCATGACTCGTTCGGTCACGTCTGAATCAAAACGAGTGAACGAGTGAACCGATCTCAAGAAAATAACTATAGTTTTTTTACCGGGAAGACTCCCGGTGCTCCAGATGGCCAGTCCGCCGCTGTTGTCACCTGCACAGATGTTTCATTAATGACTAAAGTAACAGTCCTTAATTAAAGGAATAGCTCACCTCACCCCAAAATTGAAAATTTGCTGAAAATTGCATTAACCTTTTATTTATGACTCTTTCGGTCATGTCTTAATATAAATAAGTGCGGAAACTGATCCCAAGAGAACTTGTGGTGTTTAATGAGGATTTTGTGCATTAAAATAACAAGGATAGAAAAAAGGTAGAATAAATTAAGGAAACGTCAAGTCAAGTCAACTTTATTTGTTCAGCGCTTTATGCAATACAGATTGTGCCAAAGCAGCTTTACAGTGTTAAACAGGAAAATAGTGTGTCTAGTAATGCAAGAGGACAATAACAAAGTAATTTTTCAGCTAAAGTCAGTTCATTGATGATTCAGTTCATCATCATCCAGTTCAGCTCTCTTCCAAAAGTGTCTGTGCAATCAGTCAAGCGTCCACAACTAAGCAAGCCAAAGGAACCAAAACTCCATCGCTGACAGAAATGGAGAAAAGACCTTGGGAGAAACCAGGCTCAGGCGGGGGCCAGTTCTCCTCTGGCCAGACGAAACCAGCATGGTGTGGTTTAATTCCAGGCTGCAGCACAGGTCAGATTGTGCAGAGGACTCGTCTGGTTCTCATGGTCTTGTGCAGATGGCCAACATGGTCTTCGCAGGGGATCTGTCTCTGGGGCTCATCTAGTTGACATGGTCTCTGCTGACATTCAGGGCTGTAGAGGTCGTCTCTAGGTGCTGATCCACCATCTGATCTGGATACAGACTGGATCTGGCGGCTACAGTGACCTCGGAATAAATAAATGCATATTTTTAAAGAGCAGTTGATTATGTTGTTGTTGTCACCTGTCCAGATGTTTGGTCACCTGGGCCCGTATTCACAAAACATTTGATCTTACCACTAAGAGTTCTCCTAAACAGCAGTAAAAGTTTTTAGCTAAGAGTTTTCCTTTAAAAACCTGTTCACAAAGCTGCTGAGACAAGCTTTTACTAAGGAATAGAGAGAAGTCTTGAGCTCAGATCAGGGCCGTCGCTAGTGGGGTGAAAGGTGGTGACAATTACAGGGGCCCCCACTGCCCAGGGGGCCCCACAAAATCCAGCAGTTATACTATATAGGCCCCTGTTCTGTGAATAATTCTAATATTTATAATAGTCGTATGCCACAGATTTTAATGAAAACCACAGAAACATGCAATTTGATAAATAAGTCTTCCAAATATCTGCTCGTCACCCCTCCCTAAAAATGGTTTAGTCCTATACAAGGTATTTATTAATTATTCAGTCAATGACAAACATCTGAGGGGCCCAATAAATCGTAAGTCCCACCCTAGCTTGTGAAAAGGACCAATCAGTGTTGACGCGGCAGCTGAAGTTAGAGATGAACTTGGTGGAAGAGACGGAGACCGACTGACCCTCACACTCTCTGAATCTTGTTGGTGTACAAGCAGCAGAGTCATGTCCTGATGTTTCCACATTTTTTGGCTGTTTGAACCGCTTGTACAATCTCTTTAGTGCAAGTCCCGAGCGTTGGGCAATCCTTAAAAGTCAGACTGGCTGCTCCCTTCAACGCTTATCAGAGACCAGGTGGAGTGCACGCATAGCTGCAGTTAAACCTGTAGCAAACCACTTGCCATCAATTATAGAAGCTCTGGACAGCATCCTTGCTAAGTGCAGTTTAACCAATGAAGCTAGGTCAGAGGCCAGTGGTCTAAAACAGTACTTCATGTCCTTCAAAGCCATAGTTCTTCTCACTGTATGGAAGAAAATCCTGCAGTCCATTGAAGACAGAAACCTAATTCTGCAATCAGGGAAAATTTCAATAGAAGTTGAAATAGACAACATACGGGCACTTAAAGAGGAGATGGAAGTTTTGCGTAACTCATGGGATAATCTTTTTGCAGAAGCTTCCCTCATTGCAGAAGCTATGGATGTGCCCAAGGGGTTTCCAGTCAGCCACAAAAGAAAAAGAAAGCGCTTTGCAGATGAGAGTCAGAGTTCAGAGGATGCCAACCAACTAGAGACAGAAGAAATTCGGTTTCGAAACAATGTGTTTTTTGTGGCATTGGATAATATAATCTCTGCACTGGATATCCGCTTCCAAACCACTGCAAAGATATATGAAGAGTTTTTTGCAATCTTGTCGTTAAAAGACTTAGAAGAAGATCAGATTCACCCAGCTTGCCACTCATTAGTGAGCAAATATGCACAGGATCTTACAACAGGCTTTGAGAACGAAGTGAGGCATCTTACATCTGTGTATAATGCTACATTTGCAGACTGTCAGTCTCCTCTTGACCTGCTGAATTCAATCTACAGGATGCAGCTCCAGAGCATTTTTGGAGAGGTGTGTGTTGCAGTGCGCATCTTCTGCACTCTACCTGTCTCTGTTTCTGGTGCAGAAAGAGCTTTCAGCAAGTTGAAGCTTGTCAAAAACTATCTCAGGTCTACGCAAACTCAAGAAAGGTTTAATAGCCTTGCCCGACTTTCAATTGAAAGCCAGCTAAGCAGACAGCTGGACTTCAAAGACATCATAAGTGACTTTGCCAACAAAAAGGTCCGACAATGGGATTTTGGTTCATCCTAGGTGAAGTGACGTAAAAGGTCATGAAAGGTTAATGATCAAACCGATATACATATATTTTCATAGTTGTTTCAAAGTTCATTACTGATTGAAATTTGTTTTAGTGTTTGCTCTCCATTTGTTTTTATATATATAATGTTATATTTGAATATTTTGCTTTAACTGATCTTCAGTAAAAACCTTTATTTACATTTATTTGTTATCTGTTTTGTTATATTTTAAGAAACCCCTATTAGATTACATGTGGGCCTCCATGCTCATATATTGTACAATAAATTATATTAGTGGAGGGGTGTGGGGGCCCACATCAATATTTTTTCAGGGGGCCCCGAATCCTCTAGCTACGGCCCTGGCTCAGAGTAAAGGTGGGGTTGACCTCGTTGCTATGGATGATGTCAGCATGCTTACTAACTATGCACACAGTGATTGGCTGATAGTCTCTGTCAGAGATTTATTCATAGAAATATTGTAGAGCACGATGTTGACATATATAAAAGTTTAAAAATACAAATGATGCCACATTCAAATAAAGATTTTAAAATGCAGGCTAGTGTCACTAATTAAACAAGTATATGTTCAGCTAATTGTCAGCCTCTTACATGTATGCTTCTCGCAAACAATTAGTGAATATGCATATTAACAGCCTTTTAATTAACAGAGTAGAATAATCATGGCGGATAGTAATACATGCAAACGTAAAAAAAAAAAAAAAATGAAAAAAAAACAGCTGTTACTTCTTGCCCTACTGGTTAATGAAAACAAGGATATAATCAAAGGAAAATTTACAGTTGGGATAACCTCCAAAACCGAAGGCGATAGGCTACCTTTTTAAAAGGTCATTATCATCAAATGTTTCTAAAATGTTTACGTTCCGAGGCAGATTGCCGGTGTCGTGTCGAAAACTGATTGCCGTCCGCATCCGTCCGTTTTACACTTGCCACAAAGTGATTAGTCTCTACTTAGGGAGTGAACTGTTCTTTCTGCCTCAAAATGACTTGATTTCATTCCATTCATTGTTGTTATATTTGATAGATTATAGTTCATTCGGTCCTTTTTACCTATTGAAATACATTTAAATGGTCAATAAAGCCCATAAAATGCAGTTTTACACAAAAAATGAACGGTTCTTTAAGCCTCAAAATGATCTGATTTCATTCATGGTTGTTGTCAAAAAGTATTTCAACAGGCAAAAAGGACTGAATGAGCTGTAATCGGTCAAATATAACAACAGTGAATGAAATCAAGTCATTTTGAGGCAGAAATAACAGTTCACTCAACAAGTAGAGTCTGTAATCACTTTTTGGCAAGCGTAAAACGGACGGAAATCAGTTTTCGGCAGACGGCAACAGCCATTTTAGGATAGTTTGTGGCTTGGTCTTAGTGACTTAGGAGTCCTCTTCACTACTCCTAACCTTTCACAGATTTAGGAGCTAGTTTTAGAGCTAAAAGGCTTTGTGAAATACTCTTAGAGCAAAAATGTAGGAGCCCTAAATTTAGGACTGACACGCACATTATTTTTAAGATTTTCTCCTAAATCGGCGAGTTATGAGCTACTTTTAGCCTTAAAATGTTTTGTGAATACAGGCCCAGATCCACAAGTATTCCACACAAATCCTGTTCATCAATTAACATCTTGAGAAGTGAAGCTGCATGCTTGTACTCATTAAGGCATTTTAACTTTAAACTGTTGCTTCTGGCCAGAATACCAATCCATAATCCACAATAACTCTTCCTCCGGTCAAAATACCCATCCCCTGTTGAGTTGTCACACCAATCCACCAGCATTTTTGCTTAGAACTGTTTTGAACTGTTTGCACTAGATATGTGCTCATTTCTCTCCTTATTCAGATGAAATAACTTTTCCACAATATTACGGATAGAGGACTTGTATTTAGCGGGCAACAACAACATCATCTTAATGATGGATTTTGATGATGGATCACTTCACAAGACATTAATTGATGGACTAGAGTCATGTGGATCACTTGTGGATTATTGTGATGCTTTTACCAGATCTTTGAATTACTCTGAGGGTCTGAG